TTAAAAAAAAAAAAAAAAAAAAAGAAAGAAATTATTAATCATTACGTAAAAAAGATCTCCATCTTTTCTCTCCCTCCGTCTACCACTGCTACTGCTAAGCTTTGAGTCATATTTGGTCTGTTGAAATAGTACTATCAAAAAATGAATAAATAAATAAATAAATAAAAGCTCTGAAAAAATGATGAAGCAAAAGACCAATCAAAAAAAAAAAACACTTAAATAAAATCAGTTTAGTTGTTTAAGCAAAAAAAAACTAGACGATTACATAGGAGGCTAAAGTGGCAGCTGCAACAAAAAAAAAGTAGGGGGGATCAAGTAAATTTGTCATTTTATCTATTGCCTTCTTTTCCCCTTTTTTCAATGCAAACAGAATAGGACAGTAATAATATACATTTGCGATTATGTTCTCCTCATCTTTTTTCGCTTACCTTCTCTCCAGTTACGTAACGTCTTGATTCCACCCAGGTCAAAAGGTCAATTCTGCAACAAATTTGGCGCTGATCACAGTTTTGTTTCATGAATAATCGTCACCTTCAACGGCACTTTTTTCAACTTTTTTCAGTGGTCTTCTAGCACATCGGATTATTACCAAACAGTGTACTTAGACGCCAAAATGTTTTAATAACTAAACAGATGGATGACCATAACGATCAAACCCCCTTTAACAAAAAAAGTTGTTGAAAGCCTAAGTATGGCAAAAAAAATTTTTTTTTCTTTGCTGCTAACAGCTAATTTTTGTTTCGCACAGCAACAAACTGACGATAGTGTTGATGTTGACAGTGTTGATGACGACGACGGCGACGACGGCAAGGATCAGGAAAGGGGATCAGTGTGAAAATATTGTGGAACGAAAAAGCTAATCATTGGCAAAAATTGTGAATATTTCTGCATCAATTGCCTACAATAATCACATATTTAGGATCATTTTACACAGAAAATTACGCCATATGCTATCAAAATATTTGTAAGCAGTAAAAAAAAATTTTTTTTTTTAACAAAAACATAAAAAAAACCTCTTCTTTTTTTCTGTTTTAATAATTAAAGGTATATGCTTTTTTTGCTTTTATTGGTAATAGTCAAAATAATAGCAACATTCTTGGACAGCTCATCATTTGTTCACTACTTCCTTGATGTATATAGGTATTTGTTCTGTTCAGTTTATTATCGTTGTCGACAACAACCCACAGTATTCTGGTATTCCAAATTTTTCTGTCTTTTAACAACACAAATAAGGAACATCAAAAGAAAAATAAGAAGATGGAAAAAAGTAGCAAAGGAAAAATGAAAAAACAATTAAGAATAATTCGATATTGGTTACGTTAAAAAATCTTTAAAATCTTTTGTAGTATCATTGTTAATAATACTGTTATTTTTATTATTATTATTTATCACTATTATTACCATAAATAATACTACTATTACTCTTAAAAGAAACAAGATAACTTATTATTCTAATTAAAAAGAGGTCTAAGTTTATTGCCAGTCAAAACAGCAAATTTTTAAGCCTTTTACAGAATTTGTTGTTTTACATACTATTTTTATCCCAATTATTGTAATGGTTTTTCATTGATAATAACGATAATAATGATGGCATCAGCAATCATAATAACGGCAACATCAGCTGCAGTAATGACAATAGCAAATGTGTTAGTTATAATAAAGGTAGAAATGTACTGATTTATTGTCAACTCTAAAGACAACATTTTTAGGGTCTAATTGAATTGGTTGGTTAAAATTTATTCTTTAAATGTCATATATCGTTTGAATTAAGTGAAAAAAAAAACCTACTTTTTTTTTTCACTACAAATAATAGAGGTTATTTAAAATTAATAAATGAACAAAATTTTGCATATATTTTTTCGTTATTTGATCAAAAAATCTAGGCTAGCATTAAGCAAGCAAACGAAGAAAAAAAAAGAGCAGCAAAACCAATTTATTATAATATCCAACCAACAACAATTGTCACCAAATATTCATTCATTCTTTCGTTTGCCTCGCAACCTTTAAAGAACAAAAATTTGCGCAATAAAATGACTATCGGCTAAGCCATTACATAAGTTATTGTTTTTAATCGTTAAACGGTAAGTTACTGCTACAGTTCTTCTGCTTCTTCTTTGGCTTTGATATAGTTTATTTCTTTTTTTTTTTT